ACAAGAAAAACACAAACACATGATGAGAAGTTCATTTGCATGAGTCAGAGTCAGAGCCAACTGTCGAGCATGGAGGTGGTAGAATCATGCAGTAGCCTGTTATGCTAGTAGTGGTACTACGGCAGGACTACTGAAAAAAGACAACTAACTCTAAACTACAACAACAACTTCACCTCAAATAAGCTGTAAGGTGATTGAGAAGCTGCTTGTTGATTCCAAACAAATTAAGTATAATTTTAAAAGCAGCAGACTATTTATGATATTTGTAACAGAAACATCTTATTTGCACTAAAGCAGCAACTTTTCATACACTTTTCAATTTTTATGACATTCAGGAAACTCACCAGACTGGTTATTCCACTTGACACATTTGTCAGCTATAAATGATCAATCAGTAAGTCAATTACTGAAGACATTAAGCAGACTTTTATAGATTGAAATTCAGTCTTAATCAAAACTCTTACTAATTTAATTTCATATATTTAACTATCTTCATAGGCAGACAGTTTAAGATTACAGTCAATCTTTCATTCTCATCTGATCTAGATTCTCAAACAGCAGATTTAATCTCAGTAAAATAGGATTAAAAAAAGATAATCTCCATGAAGCTCTAGCAGTATTATGCTTCTATTAGTCACAATTTGTAACAAAACAGGTATATGCAGCATAAAAGGGGTTGTATTTATTAATACATTTATACAATGAGACATTGAGATGTTTGTTGAAAAGGCTCAACTTTATCCAAACATTAAGGTTCCACACCCTCATCTAAAAAACACTACAACATATGTGCAGAGCATGACGGCCTTATTAAATCTGCTGGGTTAGCTGTTTTGGGGATATTGAGCGAGCTTTCTTCGTGAAGGCATTCGTAGTTCTTTTAGATATTATTAAAATTCCTCTCTGAATGAAGGTCTGAATAAATAGAAAAATGCTGAACCATTGCCACACTCTCAGTCTTATCAGAAAGTCTGAACAGACTGAGCTTTAATCAAGCCTTACTGCTGCAGAAATGTTTGCAGATTTTAGCTTATTTCCCTGCAGACTCTAAAGCAAGGTTGGTAACGGAATAACTCCAGAGAATTTCCTAATCTTTATCTTTTAGGTTTTCTCTGACAGGTTCAAAACTATTTAGACTCCTGCGAGAATTAGTAGTACAGGATTCTTCCTTTTCCAATAAAACGGTCTTTCTGACTGGAAGAAATATCAAATATGAATCTGATGTGGAATCTGTGCAGGGGAAAAGAAAAGATTTTTTCACATATCCATTACAGTAAAAATGTCCATAGCTGTTATAATTTTTTTTACTCTCCAGATACAGAGTGATATATTGTAAAAACAATATACAGTACAATATTCTATCTAATTTTTTTTTCTATCTGTTATTTGAATACACTTTGTTGCACATTGTGTGAACACTTCTACTATAACCTTTGCTGCTGTAACACCACAATTTCCCCATTGTGGGACAATAAAGAGATTTTCATCACCATATTATCGGTGGTAACATGAAAAAAGCTTGTTAAAGGAGACACTTGGCTGTTGCATAAAAAAATATTTTCCCATGAATTATTCGGAAAGGTATAATTACTATTTTGACAGTTTTAATTAAATATATTTAATGTTTCTTTTCTAATCAGAAAAAAAAACCTAGATGAACCTAGATGGAATTTCACATATTTTCAATATACTGTAAACCTGCTATGGGTAGGACTAATTTAAGGCTCAAATGTCTAAACAACAGTGTTCCTTCCCCTCTTCTAATTAGGAGGGAAAAAAATAACAGTAATATTTTACAAATCTGAGTTGTGCGATGGTAGGAATCCATGTTGTTGTAACATTGTTCACTATTGTGATGACAATATCAGACACATAAATCCCCATTTCTAACCTGTCTCTATGATGCTTCAAAAGGTGTCTGTAGTTAGACATTTAATTTTGCTTACTAAAGAAATATTAAGGGACACATACTAAAGATGTAAAAGACTATTTGCATGCAAAGCGTAAAGTCAATAACAATTATATATGATCACTAAAATGCAGTTTTCTGCAATAAGTTGCATTTTTAATTTTATGAAAATATACCTTAAATGCAAAGCTGCAAAATGCCTGCTTCTATGACTGACATTTATTTAAAACAGTACATTTTAAATGCATTTAGAACCTAATACATCCCATTGCCATCCCTAGTAAAGAAAAATTATTTTGCATATATTTTTTTTTGGTTATTTTCACATCTTAAACTCTTCCAGCGGTGCTTACAGAGGTATCTGCATCTGTATTTGTGTATCTAAATTAGTGGGTACTATAAGTTGACGGTTTATGACTCCACCCTTCTCATCTGCCCCATTTATTTCACATGACAAACATCAATGTGTGGCTGGACAAACTGAGACAATGCAAAACCCATGAAGAAGAAAATATGACTCACAGCTTTGTGGTACAGTCCCCTTTAAACTGCATCTACTTAATTTGATCAAAGGTTTCCAACATGCATATTAATTTAAGAATGGTCAATAAGGTCAGCAGATCATTTGTAGTTCAAAAGAGCATCTCTAAATAAATGGAGACATGCAGGATTCTAACTAAGACTCACAGAATAAACATTTCTCTATGGATTATGAAGGATTGGAAACCAAACAACAAATATACAAAATGGCCAATAAAAATGTTGCTCTTTCAGCCCAAATAAACAATCCTATGACTCAGTAGTTTGTTATTCTTTTTAATGGATGAATGAAAGTGCCGTGGCCAAATAGGACCTGTTTGCATGTGTTGTTGTTTTTAACTCCTCTCACCTGTTTGAATCCTATTTACATCTAAATCTTAAGACATATCCGCAGCCTAAGTCATATTTAACTGAGCTGAATGGGAAAATGTGTCCCTCCCTGCACAGCAGGTTTTTCTTTCTTCTCAATGATCTGCAGTTTTTGTTAGTTGATGCAGCCAAACAAAAGCTTCGTAAGATATTCTAAGATCCAGCTGACTTCTAAGTTAAGCAGTTGGTTGATATTATCTATATTTAAGTAGATAAAAAAATTGTTTATTTACAATCCAACAACAACAGAAAAAAAAAATCCCCATGAAAAGCACAGGACTTCCTTAACAGATATTGAAAGCAAATATACTGCTTGTATTTTTCTATGAAGCACATCATGCAAAACATGTTTTGTTTTGTTCATGTTCTTAGTGTTAATGTATTTAATTGAAAAGGAAACATCTGATTTTACAGTGTCTGATCTGCCAAACCCAGAGGAGAGCAGATCAAATGAACCGTTGCTGATCTTGATCTCCCATCAGATAGTTGGCAAATTGCAGTGATAAGGAGTAAAATGAGGAAGTGAACACAGAAGCTGCTACAAATTAAGCACGCGTTTCACACTACAGCTAAAAGAACACACACTGGAAGGTTCTAAAAATTGCAGAAATTTCAACCTGATCTGGATTTTTCAATTATTATTACAGGATAATATGAATGGATTATATGAGGCAGAGATGTTAACAACGACAGCAGATCTAAAAGGTCTCTGTAAAAATTATATCTTTTAAAATCACCTACAGATCTGTGAACAGTTAGAGACTAAATGCATTTCCTCCAATCCTCTAGACTCTATAGCCCATTAGAGACCAGCTTAACATATTTAAATGGGCTGGTCTAGACTGAGGCCAGCGGGGGCCAGTGCCCCTGTAGATCATGACCTGGTCCCTGTTATTGCCCCTGTACTGACATAATACTCAAAGAAATTCTAATGGTGATATGTGCTGGAACAGACATGATAACTGATAGGTCCTTTGGATCTATTTATTTTTTTCCTTCACAAACTGTTTTACTTATCTAAAAACAATAACGTGATACGTAGCTTCAGTGGTATTGAGATAGGACCCCATATTTCATTTGTTAAATTTTTTTTTTTTTCAAAACAAATAAAATAATACTCTCATATTTACAGCTGAATTTATCAGTTTTTCTTGAGTTCTAATTCAGATTTTATATAAAAATGTAATCTTAACTAAAATTAAGTCAAGTGAATGTATATTGACCTAATAGGACATAGAAATTTAATTAAACCTAATTGAAGAGAAATTTCACTTGATACAGCTATATGAGTATATTTGAATCCCTTCCCCTGTTTTTTATTTCATGCTTTTCTGTGCCCCCCCATGAAAACGCACTGGCCCCCTCCTGGCCCCCTGGTACATTTGGTCTAGAACCACCACTGCATATTTAGATATCTGCTCTCTATTTATAATATAGGTCAATCTTCAGTATAAACAGTAAGATTCAGAATGAAAACAACACATCATCCCCAGGTTCCTCTATCCATCTCCACCTCTCACAACTTTTTTAAAACCTCATGACTCAACCAGATGCGTGACCAAACTAGTTCAACACTGAGGCAAGCTAGATTCCACAAACTGCCAGAGGGGGAAACAGACATTCACTGAGATGCTTTAGCTGTTGAACTTCCTCCACTGATTAAAACACCTTCCAACATTTGAACTTCCAGGACCCAATATGGGAATTTCCATTGTTTTTTGCAGCTTACTTTTAAAATCCTTTAAATGTAGAACATTGAGGAAGATGATAGGATAATTTGCACATATGGTTCTTTATTCTATTATATATAGAGCAATATACTACAGGTTCTAGCCCATAAACTTACAGCAGATATAGGAGCCTATTTATCACTGCTATACTCATAAAATGTATTAATAATCCATATTTAATTAAAGATAAACAAAAGGCCTGCTAAAATGGTTATATTCATATATATTAAAAGTTTTTACAGTAAATGTGTTTATTACTATCTAACAGTATGTTAGGAACATATATTTTAATGATCAAAAATATGAAGATTTGTCTTCATTTTAAGCTGTATTTCATAATTGTAATCATTAAACCCTTATTTTCAATTATTTGTCCATGATTTCATTAAATTAGAAAGCAATAATTGCAATAATTTGATATTAATGAATAAAGTGATGAGCTTTCTGCTTACATGCGGCTGTTGAAGCTGTCCAGTTCCTCGAACATATCTCCTCCATCTTCTTCTTTTTTATTCTTTTTCTTCCTGAGCTTTAAGGACAGGAACCGCTTTGACTTCTTCTCTTTCGGGGAGCAGGGGGTCTCATCCTCTGGATGCGCTCCCCCCTCCCCGGGGCGCAGGGGCCCCGGGTCCCCCTGCAGAGAGCTGGGATCATCCCGGTGGATGGTCGCAGCTCGTTTTAGCTCCTTTTTCTCCTTTTCTTTTTCCTTGTCTGCGGATTTTTGTTTAAAGAACCCCCTCAGCGTGCCGGTCTTACTCATGGTGCTGAGAGCGCGGAGATGAAAACCTGAGCGGAACCGTTTGCCTTTAAGTGGCCCTGGAGACTGACGCACCGGGATAACCTGCAGAGCGGGTTAGCGGGAGCGCCCTGGAAGGACCTGCCCACACACTCGCTGCCGCGCGCCTGCAGGTGAGGAAGAGCAGCGAGGAAGATGCTAAAAAACATTCAACAAAGACTTTTGCAACTTATTTATTCTCATCGTCACCTTAACTTTTCTGTATCTTCATTTGCTTGTTTGATAACCTGATTGATCAACAGTCATTTACCAGCCAGGGGCCCATCAAGTAAAGTTGGGACATTTTGAATTGTCACAGTCTTGGTTCTGTTATGTTTTCTTTTGAGTATTCAGTTTAACTTTGCTCCATGTTTTCTAGTTTTATTGGTTTAATTCTTATTTTGTTGTGTTATGTTTAGGTTTTTATCTGTTGCCCTCTTGTGTTGGTCTCCTTTTTCCCTAGCTCCTTAGCAGTGATGCCAACTACTAAGTAAGGAAAGTAGCTATTGGCTGTGCTCTAAGTCGCTGAATGACGTCATTGCCTAATTTGCTCAGAATATAAAAGAACTCAGAATATATAGAACTACTTTTTCTGTCCATTAATGTTTATTTATTTTACTTTTTATTATTTCAATTAATTTATTTTATGGGTGGGCTGCACAGTGGTACAGTGGGTAGCACTGCTGCCTTGCAGCAAGAAGGTTCTGGGTCAGATTCCCGGGACGGGTTCTTTCTGCATGGAGTTTGCATGTTCTCCCTGAGCATGCATGGGTTCTCTCCGGGTACTCCGGCACAGTCCAAAAACATAACTGTTAGGTTATATCTCTAAATGCTCCTTAGGTGTGAGTGTGTGCGTGAATGGTTGTTTGCCTCGTTGCCCGTAGACAGCTTGAGATAGGCACCAGCACCCCTCGCGACCCCCACAAATACTAACCCTCCTCCTTTACCTGAGCTTGGGATCGGCAAAATGAACCATAAAGAGACACTCCTGCTGAGCTTGCGCTCTTCCCAAAAAGTAACTTAACGGTTATACCATAATTATTCAGTTTTTATTTCAAATGATCACACACACACAAATCAATCAATAACCTAAAGAATAAGTATATGTATGACGGATAAAATTACAACATTATAATATCCAACAAATTCAAATTGAGTGAAAATGTGATGAGTGAAAAATCAAAAGCAACATAGCTTTGCACTCAAATATCAAGGTGAAGACCACAAATTTGAAAGGCAACACTCTATAAATCAATGTATGTAAACTTGAAAGATAAGTACCCTGAGAATATTACAATTACCAAATGTTTTGCAAATGTTATGGCGCAAAATCCAGACCAGCGTAAAGCTGTGCAGTTAAAAGAAAAACTTAAAATATCGAAGAGTCGTTGAGTAGAAATTCCTGTTTTTCTTTTGAAAAACGTTTTGATAACTTCATTTTAGGAGTGGGCCAAGTTGGAAAAGATTGCCTTCTGTTTCCACATAGAGATCTAAATCACCCAAACATTCCCAATGCTGTTCAAAACGTAACTCTTCTGGACTTCCAGGCAGCAAAAGAACCGATGGTATAATATAATAACTGAAATTCAAATTAATCTCACAAAGGATAAATTCACCTCTGGATGTAACCCATCCCCTTAAGGAGCTGTGGGCTGCCATTGTGCGACGCCCAGGAAGCACTGTGGGGTTTAGGGTTTTGCTCAGGGACCACAGACTGTGGGGATCAAACTGGGTACTTGCACCCTTCTCAGAGCACAAGCGTACTGCTCTAACCCGCTATGTCAACACTCCCCCCAATACATGCATTGAATTCTTCTCATTTCTGTTCATTCTTTAATTTTTTGCCCTGTCCAGTGAATAGTGCTGCATGCTGCTGCCTGGGTCGCCTGACAGCAAAGCTGGCTTTGATTTCACGAGTTTTCTCTTACATTTTGATGGCTACAGAAAAGCATTTACCTTCACTTCTCAGTGTAGTCCTTTCAACATCTCTAAATAAGTATGAGGTGACTATGTCACTTTGGTTTCCATCTGAAATGCAAAAAGTGAAAATCGTTTAAAAGAAAAGGACTTAACTACTTTACTTCTGTTCTCATGTTCTATGTAGTCCAATAGCTGTAGCTCATATACCGGACACATTTGTATGTAGGCCTCTTGAAATGCTGACTAGAGACACAATACAAATAGTTTTATTCTACTAATTATGTCAACTATGTATGAGCTTTACATTATTCTTAATATTGTGGCAATCTTGTCTCTTGGCACACGTTTTAACAAATTTTTTTCCATTCCACTCAACTTTCCACTAATATATTGCAATAGAGTTCTTTACAAAACCAGCTTATTGTAGCTGCTGTGGGTGTCAGGGACTGTCTGCTGGACTACTCATGGTGAACTACAAAAGTCCTGTTTAGTATCTAATTTTCTTAGCAACCAGATTCCGTGCTTTAATCATAACTGATTGCAAAAAATATAAATATGCAAACATAAAAGAAGATGATAGAAATAGTCCCTAGATCACAGGGACTAAAATAATGATGGGTTATTTACACAGTATTTTGGAAAGATGTGTCAAATGTTTTTCTCCAAGGAGAGTACATCCCTGAATACATGAACCCTGTGTTGTGCTTCCACCATAAAATAACTGCAATACAAATTGTTTTTTGGTCCACAACAAATCATGCCCACTTCACTTGCAAATCTACAGGTATTTTTTTAGGGGAATAAAAGCAAATACTTAATTACAAATAAAGATTGAAGAGGAGCAGAAACACAGTGAAGCAAACACCAAGGATCTGATATAAAGGGTCCTGCAGCAAACTTTTAGTGTTCTGGAAGGTTACTGAACAGGCTGCAAGTCTGTAATGAGTAACTGGTGCTGAAAAGGGCAATTCAAGAAAATGTTTAAGTACTGAGGACATCTAGAGGTAGTGAATGGCAACAGACCCGAGAATTTAGAAACATAAACTAAAAAAAACAAGTTAAAGTATGTATATTTTTTGAGATTTATAAGATGTGGAGTAGTACATACATTTAGAGATAGTTGATTAAATTTTAGATGGCATCTGTCCAACCAGGAGGGGAATGCAGGAATGATTTTCTGTTCCTCTTGTGTTCTGGAGTAGGGTCTGCCCTGGGGTTTCCATGCACGTGAATTTTCCATAACACCTTCATAGTAATAATCTTCTTGTCAGATGTCTAAACCAGTTTAAACTCATTTCTTCTCATGTTGAGAGTGCAGCTTTATTCCAATCTCTGTGAATGCAGAGAATCCTCTTTTAAAATCTATGTATAGTGGTCAGAATCAGAAGATTCTGGGTTCTAAAAGCATGGTTGGATGGGTCAGCTGCAATCCTACTTACTTGCCACTGGCTTCTGGAGGTGTACAGTATCTGAAGAGGTGATCAACAGTCATCATACCTTTTTCTTAATGAAACAAGTCATAATTCTCATGGGTACACATATAAGATTCTTTATTGATTAATTAAAAAACTTTATTGTTTTGAGGAGGAATTTATTGGCAGCAGTGTTCAAAAACATCCATACGCACAACGAACATGCATTCAAAAAAACCTTAAAATAGTTTTAATCTAAAAAAAAGTTAAATTATTTAAAAACAAAAAAGCAAGGTGATAGTAGAACTTGTACAACATTTGCATTGGACCTGTACCTCACCTCCTAGTTCTGCTTTTCCAGGACTGGGTCTTCTCTGGTAAGATCTTAGAAGAGATTCCCAGATGTCCCTCTCCCAGACACCACCTGCAGCTCTACTGGGGGATGCCAGAGGCTCGCTTTAACCAACAGAGACATAGGCTTTCCAGCATGCCCTGGGTTGTCAACTGGGCCTCCTCCCGGTGGGACATGCATGGAACACATCTCAAGAGAGATGTCCAGGGGGCATTTGAAAAAGATGTCCCACCCACCTCAGTCGACCTCTTGATATAGAAAGCTGTTAAGAAAGCTAATTTCAGGAGCTTGTATCTGAGATCTCTGATTCTTTCAGTCATAATCCAGATTTCATGGCCACAGGTGAGAGTACAACCAACTCTCTTCACCACAACAGACAGATCGGTGAGGCTGCTGTTATAATGTGGATGTTGTACGGATCTGCCTATCAATCTCCAGCTCCATTTAACCTTCATTTGTGAACAGGGATACAAGATACTTGAACTCCTCTGCTTAAGATACGAACTCTCCTCCAACCTGAAGGGGGCAAGCCACCTTTTTGCTGGCCTGAGATTCGGAGGCAGTTTCAAAAATGGAATCTTAAATCTACTTTACCTGTACCTGGGAATGGAGAACAAGACTATCAATAAGATGAGAAAAAAGGTTTACTAGATGTCGTAAATAGGCCATTTGAGAAATATGTCTTATTTGGGGATTTTCTGTGTTATATGCCTTATTTTTGCCATAGGGGCATTAAAGTTTGTTCATGTATTTGGGATGAATTGTACATTGTTTCCTTAGTGTTTCTGTATTTCGCCAATAGGGGTCAGTACCGTTACATTCTTGAAGAAGTGGCAGGCCTAAAGAACAGTGGAGCCAAATTAGGCGCTTTACTGCCCAGTTGGGCGGCTTTCGTTTTGATTTTGAGGGTTAAAATTGCTTTGGGTGGATGGAGATAACTTGGGCTGGTTCAGAGTCAGATTGGCGGTTTTTGAGTTAGAGTATTAAAACACATGTCCACCAATCATTCATCATTACTGGTTCATAGCAAAGTCTCCCTTACCTTTCTCCATCACTCATTAGCTAATGTCATCTGCCAGGGTGTTACAACAGAGAACTAGTGTAGTGGCACCTCAAAATGTGGTGGTTTTAGCAGCAGGTGAATCTGGTGTGATAAACCTGGGGGCTGGTTGACCTTTGACGACCTCGAGAAACATTTTTTTTATATCTTTAAAATGATAGAACTGAAATGTTTGCTGCCCAAACCAGAACAAAAGTAGCACAAACGTTTGACACCGATTTGGTCTGATTTTAATAAGGGGGGAGGTAAATTTTTACTCAGGTTTCAGGTCCTGGTTCCTGGCGGCCAGCGTATTGAGTTTTTTTTTGTGTTTGTCCAGTCCTTTGATCGTGTTCTGGTCCTTCTCCATGGAGCACTCAGGCTTTTGGCTCAGTACGAGAGGGTCAGTTTTATCCCCATAAGCATGGATCCTAGGAGGAGACCAGTTTAACGCTTCCTGGAGAAATTCCGGTACAATGTCTTGTCTCTATTCTCTCAACCACTGAGCCTTCCAGTCTGCATCAGAGCCTCCCTGTCTGCCTCTGTGCATGTTTGTGTGGACACACTTCTGGACCAGTCTCACTCTGGACTCGGAACCTGCCTGAATGCTCTAAAGATTCCTGGAAGCCTGTATCCTTCAGTTCCTTTTTGTATCAGAACTTCGGATCAGCTGTGGACTCTTGGATTCCTGGACTGTTCCGACCTGCTCTGTTTTCCTCTGACCTGAATTGGCCTCCTGTATGTACTCCGGGGCTCCGGTTGGAACGCACCTTTCTAAGGAGATGCAATGAACTATTAAACCAGGTAAGTGTCTCACTAAGATAATCATCTCCTGTTAGATGATCGTGGTCACTTACCTGTGTTTCTTTCCCCAGAGTGTCAGTGATTGGGCGGTGTCCCGTCCCCGTCCTGCAGCCGCAGCAAGCCGCAGATCCACAGCACCCCGCTTCTGTTCTGTTACACTTCTGTTTTTTTTTTTTATGCTTTATGTTTAAACCTCCTGACTGTCTCATCTTGAATACTTGGACCATCTTTCCCGTTTTAAGAAAAAAAGTAAGACAGATCATTGGCTGCAGCTGGCATGAGTAAAAAAAAACTCAGATTAAAATGAGACAGAATGATTGAAAACTCCTTGCAAGGAGCTAATCTGGTACGGGGATTCTCCAGGGATCAGCAAGGGTTCATCTTAAGATGTTTTTAGCATTGATCAGCCTTTAGTTCGCAAGATAGTTAGTTATTGTAAGTAGAGTTATAAGTTGTTTTGCTGTTTTATGGTTGTGATTTATTAGCATAGACTTCTAGGTTTATATCTACTTTTCTACCACTCAGATTGGATGATTCCTAATTATAAAAAATAAGAGGCAGTAAAAGGAAAACTGAATGAGTCAAAATCTTCATGATCTGAGAACGATGCAGGAGGAGATATTCACCTGTTTAATGTTCATTTATTAAGTTGTTTTTATTTGTACCTCAAATTATTGTGGTGATTAGCCTTTTAGTATTTTATCCGATGCGATAAAGACAATAAAAACAATGATAATATTAATAATAATAATCCCCATCATAACAACCATAATATGTCTTAGATTATGTGTGTTTGGAAGGGATTTTGATTGTATTATCTCCCTGTTTTAGATTAGTATAAGATTGATAGAAGAGGAGAGGAAGAAGATTAGAAGAATGCATGAGAGTGGAGGAAAATAGGAAGAGTGATGGAAAGAACATTTGAAGAAAAGGGAGAAAAATCTACTTAGAAGATTAAAACAAAAAGCAGGCAGAAGTCAGCTTAGGGCCGCCACCAGGAATTTGGGGCTCCATGAAAGAAAGTGATATAGCCCCCCCAAAGGGAAAAAATAAAAAAAGATGCAATAAAGATGCGTTGATGTGTATAATTTACAGTTTCAATGTAATTTTTATTGTAAAATAAAAAAAAAGAATAAATGATTGGAACGTGAAAAAGTGAACATTAAACTTTACATGTACATCCTTTACAAATAACAGCTTACGTAAAACACAAAAGCACAGCTGTATCATATATACATGGATAGAAAATAGGGTTAGAATTCTGAAAATATATTCCTATTAGGTTTCACTATAAATTTATTAAAGGACAGATTATTTTTAGGCTGGCCCTAAGAGTTTATTTTTCTAATTTAATCTATACGCAATTACGCATAATGACAAAAAATGTATTTTTAGTGTGACTGCTTCAAGCTGCTCATGAGAATGATCCAGATTTATATTATTATTTAATGGTTGTAATTTAATATGAATATAAAAAGCTAACTAAACTTTTTTAATATCAACAAAGGCTGCTGGATGGTACCCAATGCACTTCAGCTGTCCAGGATACAGTATAGGCCAGCTTGAGGCCATTTTTATTTTATGGTGATCAATACAAAAAATTTTATTTAGTTTATTAGATGGCACTAATAAACACTATCCATTGATTAATTTAGTTAATCTGAGGAAATAGAAGTTGCGCATTACTGGATTTCACACTTGATTTTCGTTGTTTAAATATTCATAAAAATTTGAATATGGATGAAAGCATCACTATCCCTGTTTTCTATTTTAATTTTCATGAAATGCATTCATTTTTATTTACAAACTGGAAATGTCCCCAGATTAGATTGCAAAAATCTGGTCACCTTAATTAAAGGTAAGAACTCAAAATCAACCTTAATGTAATTATTTCAGTTATGTAAAAAAAAAAAAAGAAAAGCTTTGCATATTTGTGTGCGCGCACTGATCGTAGTTTGTGTTCTTGACATAAAAAGAGGAGTAGTCTACATGGTTTTGAATCCATCTGTAAACATGTTGGCACGTTATGTGATGTGTCACATGACACTCACTGGATCTGACATGGCTGCGGTGGCTGGGTCACAGTGCTTTACAGAGAACAACTCTGGGCTGATTGTTGCTGATTTGACATGTAGTGTTGAATCAAGTTGTGCTGAAGTGTGTTCATGTTCACACAGTAAATGAAACAATATATTAATTGATATGTTAATTGTGTGATGTGTGTAATTTTTTAATAGATGTTTGGGCTGGAAAATCTCGATTGTATCTGGCAACGCTGCTGAACAAGATATTATGTTTTCTGATAAGTTTTAAGTAACGTTTTTACGTAGCAACGGTATTAGTAAAAAAAAATGTATGTAACATATTACTATCAAACCTAAACTTATCAAATTCGGTTATCAAACAAAACAACAAACATATGTCAATGCCTCTCTTTCAAGTTTCCCCATTTCAAAACTTAAAAAACTTAAATGTCATCCCGCTTCTCAGTCTCGCTTTATGCCACAATCCTTTTTAATGCAGAATTAACTGAGAAGTGAAAGTAATAACAGTGACGGTTAATACTTTGAAGGTAAGCTGGTCATGTTTGTTAGATATCCTTTGTTACACTTTATTCCTTTTTTCCTTATTTAATGCAGAGTTAACTTGAAAAGTGAAAATAACATTGACTCCTACAGCTATTAGGCCTACTTACACTGCAAAATGATCTAGAAATAAGTAAAACTTTCTTAAAATAAGTGTATTCACCCTTAATTTGAGTAGGTAAATGAGATGGAATGAGTAGTTTTACTCTTAAAATAAGATAAATAGATAATAAGCACTTGAAATAAGACAAAGCAATTGTTTTTTCTTATTTTAAATATAAATTATCTTGTTCCATTGGCAAAGTGTCTCATTTATCTAATCAATTCAAGAAAAAGAAACACTTATTTTAAGAAAAAGGACTTATCTAGATTTCGATTTTTTTCCAGTGTAGCAGGTAAGCTGGTGATAACTGTCAGATATCCTTTGTAGGATTTGTTTTAATGCTAATCTCTGTGAAATGTAAAGCTTAATATTGAGTCTTGACTTTTGCTAACTTACAGGAAGTTGTCAGCTTGGTATATACTCATTGATGCGTTCAGGGCGTGGGAAATTGGCAGTATTGTGGTTTCAATAAGAGCCTGTCTATGTAAATTGAGCCACAAATAGTGTCACCTATATTTCAATTCAGTTTAGTTTATTCATTTAGCGCCAACTCACAACACATGTCATCTCAAGGCACTTTACAATTCACAGGTTCATACAGACAAATTGGTTTTTCTATCAAGGGAAAAACCAGTTGATTGCATCGACTCATTGACTTGAATGCAATCCCTCACACTATACATGCTTGTTGTGACAGTGAAGAGAAAAAACTCCCTATAACAGGGATTTATTTGTATTTGTTTAAGTAGTTTGACTCATTGCTTATGTACATTTGCAGTATTGATAAGGGAGCCTAAATTGGATGTATTTAAAATCACAAAAGTCAAAATGCAAGGCTAAATTGGTTCTCTATGGTTACTGTTACGGTTTGTGAGGCTCCTGTGTTTTATGTTGGAATTCTGTTCAGAGGCTGGAAAAAAACTAACTACTGTTATAAATTTAGGGATATTAAATGTTACAACAGACTAGTTGTCTTCATTAGATTAACCATAATATAGACAATGCAAAAAGAAAACAAGCAAAAAAAAACAAAAAAATAATTACTTACTAAAAAGATATTTAAGGGGGTGTCCCTGCATGCAGAATGATACATATTGCTGTTTTGTAATTGTATCCATCAGATAAGAGCAGTTCATTTAGAGACAGCAGTTAGAGTTTGAGAAGAAAAGTAGCAAGATCAGTGAAGCATTTCAGTCATACAGACGCAGAGGTGGGGAAACTGTGGTTTTAGCTTCAGCTCAATCTGCTTAGAGATTTTTTTTTCCTCTCAGATTTTCTTTGATGTAAAACTGCATTTTGACTGAAAGCTGTCTTAACCAGCAGCTGTTTCAGCACCTGGAGTATAATTTTTTACTTACCTTTTGAATCAACACCCTTTGACATCGAGGATCAAAATTAATTAACAAGGTATGTCTTTTAAAATAATGAAACTCCATTAAAAAAAAAAAAATCTGCTTAGACTTTTTAATTTTCAAATAAAGATTGCTGTTTCTACTGCCACAATAAACGAAAGAAATTTAAGGTTAACTGAAGTTAAAGTGTTATATTTAATTAAAATACTTTTTATTTGATAAGTGGTTATTTAGGTAAACATGTCTGACTAAGTCAATAATTTTGTCAGTTTGAAGTGTTAACACTTTTATGGGATTACATTTTATAAATCAATTATGTTTTGCTTTGCCTGAAAATTAAACCTATGGAAAACTGTAAGAGAAAAAAACAAAATGGAACTAGAAACCGATGCCAAACTGGAAGCTTTATCAAAATACAAACACTTGAAGAACCTTAATTTATCAAACTCTGTTATCAAACAAAAAATATTGTATATGTGTATATATGTATGTATATCTGTGGCTCTTTTTCAGTCTTCTTAGTAAAGACTGAAAGCAAGATAAATGTCTTCCCTTTTCTCACTCACGCATTTATGCCACAATCCTTTTTTTAATGCAGAATTTATTGAGAAGTGGAAGTTCCATCTTATCATGTTGCTTCCCAAAAACATGAATAAGAATGTATATACAAACACACACATACACATATATGTATATATCAATATATATGTATGTATGAACGGATACACATAAATATATGTTGTTACATAGTAAATTGCAGAAAATATTAATATTTTAATTTATGATTGAACTTTAAAATAGCCTGGCTGCAGAATGTTTTAATTTAATGAATTTGAACCACAACAATCAATATCATGCAAAGGGATCCTTGATTCTTACGCAACTTATCCTAACTGTTAAAAGTCTACAAACCTATCATTTGGGGATGTAAAAAAAAAAACAAAAAAACATCATGCATAATTTCAAGGCTTTTTTAATCCCCTAAATGATCACAATCTCTTAGAAGATGTAATAAAAATCTGGTTGCATAGTTGTGCACAAACTGATAATGACACGCTTTTGAAGAACTTCCTGTTTAAATTTCTGATGAAAAGCTTTTAGTCTCTAATTTGAACATAAATAATTTGTTACCGGATTTTCTACCAATAAAGTTAGACATTACCAGTTGATTATTTTCTGCCATTAGCAAACTGTCCATCTTTAGTTAAATACATTAATTGCAGAGAAGTAATAAAGCAGAGAAGTAATAAATTATTAGGATGTACAAATACATCATAAGAATTATACAGTCATCAATAATTTATAAGAATATAGGATAAGTGTCGCGGAGAGGGAAGACTGCATCAATACAGACAGTTGCAGAAATGTATGCCCAGTAAAAGTTGTTCTTTACACTCAACAACTACTGAGCCACCAGCAACCAGAGGTGGGTAGAATATCCAAACACTTAGATGTCTTCCCTTTTCTCAGTCATGCTTTATGCCACAGTCCTTATTAGTGCAGAATTAAATGAGAAGTGAAAGACCTGAAATTAGAGATGTTTCATCTTATCAATTCTCTTCCCCAAACATGCATAAAGTATGCATACACACACCAACATATATTCACATGCCACATTCTCTAAAACTAATTAACAGCATTTTCATTTAAGACAAAACTGTGCTATATCCCGGCAGCAGAATGTTTCAATTTAGTGAATTTTAGCCACATCAAACGATTTTCTATATCATGCAAAGGGATCCTTCATTGTGGCCTGAGTTTTAGTAGCTGTCAACAGTCTGCAAACCCCTACTTTTGGGATGTTAAAAATATAAATCCAGAATACGTACTTGCAGAACTTTGGAATCTTTAAATGAACTATACAGAAGTAAAAAAATGTTAATTCAAAATAAAAAAACAACAACAAAGAAATCCTTTAAAAGATATGGAAAATAACAAAAGCTAAAAAAAAAACTGGTTGCATTGTTGTGCAAAAACTGAGATTTGATCAGTTATTACTTGATAAAAAAAGGTACTCAAGTACAAAGTACTTGTTGGACCAACACATGTATTAAATAATGATTTATTTTTCAGAAAGCAGGCCGTTAGACAGACTTTTTTTGGCTGTGTTTGTCCTGTTTTGCCAACATAGCTCTGGGAATAGATGTCCCATAGCTTGATCATAGCCCAACAGATTTGCTTTCACACAAGCTAAAACAAGACAACAGAAAACCAAAGTAAACCTCAAAAAAGTTTCAAGAGCAGCAGGTATGCCTTATATTTTCATGTGTGTGTGGAAGGCAAAACCTATGGTGATTATACACTATTATTCAGGTTGGCAGCCTATATATCTGCAGCTGCTGGATAATATTCCGTATTAGTGACTATCTGTGAACACCTGGAACTAAACTATTGTTGTATGTATGGGATGGGTATGCTCGTGTATCAATTAAGGATTTACAAAGCTTCTTCAGAAAGAAAATCTCTGAAAGCTCTGATTTCTGAAAAGCCCAAGCAGCTCACAGCAGACAAGAGTAGCAGGACATTTTACTCAAGTAGGAGAAGTGGTACTTCACAAGAATATTACTCAAGTATAATGAATGGGTTCTGTACAATAAAACTATTGCTAAAAGTAAATATTTTGAAGATATTACACAAGTAAATGTAATTATGTGATTATAAATTTAGTAAACAGACACAAACTTTTCTATTGTGCAACTTCATTCTTCACCTTTAAAACCTGTGCTAGAAGCATGCCAATATTTAAAGAGAAGAAAAAATCCTTATTAAAATAAAATGATAAGCAAAAGATAAATTATAAATTAAAAGATAAAAAGATTGATTAAAAATCAGAGAAAAATTGGACTGAAAAAGCAGCCAATCACATGGCGGCAACTCATTGCATTTAGCCATGTAGACATGGTCAAGACAATCTCCTGCAGTTCAAACCGAGCATCAGTATGGGGAAGAAATGTGATTGGAGTGACTTTGAACGTGGCATGATTGTTGGTGCCAGAAGGGCTGGTCTGAGTATTTCAGAAACTGCTGATCTACTGGGATTTTCACGCACACCCATCTCTAGGGTTTACAGAGAATGGTCTGAAAAAGAAAAAACATCCAGTGGGCGGCAGTTCTGGGGGCGGAAATGCCTTGTTGATGCCAGAGGTCAGAGGAGAATGGCCAGACTGGTTCGAGCTGATAGAAGGGCAAAAGTGACTCAAATAACCACCCGTTACAACCAAGGTGGGCAGAAGAGCATCTCTGAAAGCACAGTACGTCGAACTTTGAGGCAGATGGGCTACAGCAGCAGAAGACCACACCGGGTGCCATTCCTTTCAGCTAAGAACAGGAAACTGAGGCTACAATTTGCACAAGCTCATCGAAACTGGACAATAAAAGATTGGAAAAACGTTGCCTGGTCTGATGAGTCTCGATTTCTGCTGCGACATTCGGATGGTAGGGTCAGAATTTGGCATCTACAACATGAAAGCATGGATCCATCCTGCCTTGTATCAACGGTTCAGGCTGGTGGTGGTGGTGTCATGGTGTGGGGAATATTTTCTTGGCACTCTTTGGGCCCCTTGGTACCAATTGAGCATCGTTGCAACGCCACAGCCTACCTGAGTATTGTTGCTAACCATGTCCATCCCTTTATGACCACAATGTAGCCAACTTCTGATGGCTACTTTCAGCAGAATAATGCGCCATGTCATAAAGCTGGAATCATCTCAGACTGGTTTCTTGAACATGACAATGAGTTCACTGTACTCAAATGGCCTCCATAGTCACCAGATCTCAATCCAATAGAGTATTTTTGGGATGTGGTGGAACGGGAGATTCGCATCATGGATGTGCAGCCGACAAATCTGCGGCAACTGTGTGATGCCATCATGTCAATATGGACCAAACTCCCTGAGGAATGTTTCCAGCACCTTGTTGAATCTATGCCATGAAGAATTGAGGCAGTTCTGAAGGCAAAAGGGGGTCCAACCCGTTACTAGCATGGGGTACCTAATAAAGTGGCCGGTGAGTGTATATCAATAGAAACTATATCAAATTTCAAGGAGCAGAAGAAGAAAAACACAAAAAATCATTGCAAAGCCATGTCAGCACTTTCCATATTTCACCTTTGGATGTTTTTACACTTCTCCAAATTTTTCTCTTGTGAAAGAGCTTTATTTTCACAGTAGAACTGAAAACTTTTATCTCAAGTTATTGATCTACCTACACAACACACTTCTTTTTGGTAAACTTACCGTAAAGTGTTGGAGATCCTTTCTGATAACCTTTGTTATCTTTTCTGAGATCAGAAAAAGCGCAGAATGAGGCGACCTGCTGCCTACATTTGTGTGCAGTTCTGTGTCTTATTGGCCCAAAATTGGGTCATTGACAGAGAAAAAATGAGGCCAACTAGGGTGTTGGTGCGCTACTATAAGGTAAACAGATGAAAAAGAACAGATAAAGATTTTAGCAAATACGTGTGGCTTCAGTCAAACAATCCTGTTTGATCTCTGTGCAACCTTACTAGATTCTTTCCTTTTTTTCTGGGGAATTTGAACTCATTTTGCCTTTGCTATATTTACCTCTGAAGAATTTTAAAAGTTAATAATTAATTTGTATGGTGAATTTTTAGATTACTGCTACAGGTTCAAAGTAGCTGAATACTTTCTGCTGACAAAAAAGAAAAAGTTAAATAACCTAAGTCTATATGGAAAGGCTAAAAGATCATATACATATTTACCTCAGCATCATCTGTCAATTTGAACATGAAAAGTAAAGAGTAAAACGATCGATTCTTTCATGATTTATCACATTTTGTCAGGTTACTGCATTTAATAGCCTTATCTTACCTTATGACCACTCTGCATCATTACAGGTATAGTGTGATCAGAAATATATGCATCCATAGTTTTGCTGCCAAAATAGAAGAAATGTAGTTCAAAAACTGTAGTTTTGTTCTAGAACACCTTCTTGGACATGTTTGTTTTCCCCCACATATGTCTTGTGGCAAACTTTAACCTAGATTTCTTGTGATTCTACTTCACCAGCAGTGCTCCTCTTGCCATTTTTACATACTGCCTGTATTGGTGTGATGTATAAGATTTGCTTTTCAGCTCAGCTGTTGATTTCTGCAGCTCTTCCAGAGTCACCATGGGCAGTTTCTCTGGTTAATGGACTGTCTTTAGATGTATGAAGACGACCAATGTCTTGATTTATAGCTCTTCCAAACTTTTGCTACATGATTGGAGATCATATAGTTTATAGTAAGATATTTCCTGCTTTAGTTACTGTTTATAAACCTATTTAGCTTTATACTTCACAACTGAAGGCTTGGCATGTCTTGTCTGCTAACAGAGACGTCAAATACTTATGATTATTACTGAAGTAGAGGCATAAATCCTACTGTTTAAAAACACTCTTGTAGATGTTAAAGTGTCAGCTTTTTACTCAATAATAGTGTAAAAGTACCATTTTTAAAACTACTTAAAGTATAAAATTAAAAGTAATGAATCGTACCCTATTTAAGGAACCTTTTTCAACAATTCTGGATGATAACTTCCTTTCGCCTAATTTTCTTAGTTTTATAACTAATGGCAAGAGTGTGAAATTTAACTTTACGGTATCTTAAAAAAGCATTTATGGGCGTGCAGGTGGTGCAGTGGTTAGCACGCACAACCCATGTACGGAGGCCGACCCGGGAGAACTCCAAAAAACAAAAAGCATTTATTTTGGTATGTGGTTAACAAAAAATTGATGCAGTACACAGTCCAACCACAAATAAATTAATAGTCTAGATCAAAGGTTTTCAACAGGGGTCCGCGACACCTAGGGGGTCCACACAGGTACTGCATGGGGGTCGTGAAAGTTTTGGTTGATTAGACTTTTTTTTATATTTCCCCCCTGCAATTTTTTCCACTAATTGAAATGTCTTTAAATGCACCTAAACACAAATTCAACACACTGTAAAGAGATAAATAGAGGCAGAAGATGTCTTTCAGTCATCAATGCACACATTCAGTGACACACAGGAGCTCTTTCAAGCTGGACACCATTTCATTCACAACACCTGTCCCATCAACCAGGAATCAGAATCAGAAACTCTTTAAAAATGCCAGGGAGAAATTACTTTCGTTACATTACTCCACGTGTAATAGAGTGACTATAGGACCAGTTTGATATAACTATTTCATACAATATATAATTAGGTGGTCCCTGCTCCATCTCGCCATTAGTTTGGGGTCCTTGACCTGGAAAACTTTGAATCCCCCTGGTCTAGATGAAACAAGTTATTTTGACTTTTATTTTTTTCTGACACCAACAACCCATAACAAAAATGTCCTTAAAAGTGCATGTATAAAACAAGTCTGTTTTCAAAATGAAAAAAAAAAAAAAAATAAATTACATTCTTACTCAACTTACATACTGTGCATAATATTTGAGAAGCATATAGAACCTGGTTACATACTGTATATCATGCAAAAATATTCTGTTTGTACATACAGTTTTAACAGAGGGGGAAACATAAAGGTGTTTATAATTCATTTTGCTGGCCCCTATTCATAGCCAAACATCTTTAACATGTGGAATGCTTATTTGTGATCTCTTCAGATTGAAAATATGGATAATATTACTGCAGAAGATTATGTCACCTGGGCAGCCAACGATTCCGATGAGCTCTGCAGCCTCAACCCTACGCCTGCAGAGACCCTCTCCCAAACCAGCATCCACTCCGTCATCTGCGCCCTCGGCCTGATCGGCAACGTTCTGGTGATGATCACTTATGGTTTCTACAAGAAGACCAAGACCATGACAGATGTTTATTTGTTCAACGTGGCTGTGGCAGACCTGATCTTTGTGGTGGCTTTGCCTCTAATTGCATATAATGAGCAGCACGAGTGGCCCATGGGTTCTGTGGCTTGTAAGATGCTTCGCTCAGCCTACAGCATCAACCTGTATAGCGGCATGCTGCTCCTCGCCTGCATTAGTGGGGATCGATACATCGCCATCGTGAAGGCCAGGCGCTCCTTCGGCTCTCGATCCCATGCTGTCACATACAGTCGCCTGATCTGCTCAGTAGTTTGGGTGTTTGCACTGGTTTTAACTCTACCTACAGTTATCTACACTGAGCTCTTTGAAGAAGAGGATCTGATGCAGCAGACCTCCACTGTGACATGTACCCTGTCTTTCAAAGACACAAAGACAGCAAGGCTAATGAAGGTGATGGTACCAAGCCTGCAGATGGGGGTTGGTTTCCTTTTGCCTCTGTTGGTGATGGTTTTTTGCTACTCATGCATCTTGTGCACCTTACTGAGAGCCAAGAATAACCAGAGGCACAAGGCCATCCGGGTGATATGGGCAGTGGTTGCGGTCTTCATTGTGTGCCATCTTCCCTACAACGTGGTCCTCCTGATCCACACTATGTCCCTTTTTACTGAGAGAAGCTGCGAGGCGGAAAAAACCAAACTCATGATTTTGGCCACTTTCAGGAGCATAGCCTACCTCCACTGCTGCCTCAATCCCATGCTTTATGCGTTTATTGGAGTGAAGTTCAGGAGCCATTTCCAGAAAATACTGTCTGACCTTTGGTGCTTTAGTAAAATGTACCTCTACTCTGCTCGCTCGTCACGTGGGACTTCGGAAATTACCAATTCAGGCCTGAAAGCCTCAGACGGTTCCAACATGTCATCCTTCAGTGCCTGATAGCCACAGAGTCCTCTAGTGACCTCTCATTTGTCCAGTACATTTATTTTATTGTACCCCCAAATGTGTTGGATTGAAAGTTAATTAAATGCAGGTTATCCTAAAAAGATATTACATGTTTAAATTAGTTCATCCCTAGGTTCATGCAGGAGCTTTGCTGATCATATATAAATCCATACCAGCAAAACCACCGAAGCCCCTTAAGTAGATCTTAGTGGGGTATCACTTGGATATTAAAATACCAATTGTACATAATTGAAACTTTTTGAGGACAGAATGCAATATTAAGTGTTAATATTCATAATTTTACATTAACCATTTTAAGGTTTGTTCCTTTTTCCCACTGAACACATTAATGTTGTAACAATAATGGCCTTTTTGTTAGGATCCGGACTGCCACAATCTGCCCTATCAGTTGTAACTCCTATGCCTTTAAACGGGATTAACCTACTGAAATATATAACAGGCTATATGTGCAAACATATAGTAGATAACTAACTTTAATGTAATAACACACAAGAAAACAACAACAAGCAACAATTACTATTGTGTCTCATATTTATCAACATTCGCTCTTTGGGCTTGATTCAAATTCCAAAAATAAGTGAAGGGCTACTCTTAACCTTTCACCATGTTAAGCAGCAGCACCTAGATCCCAAAGTGGAATATGGTTTATGTCAGTTGGGAACCGGCTTATATCAGTTACAGTAGAATGTGGTTTATACCAGTTCTTAACCGACATATGCTAGTTGCTAACCAGCATATGCCAGTTGGAAACTGGAAACTGTTTTAAGCCAGTTGGAAAAGGGTTTATGCCAGTTGGGAACCGGCTTATGCCAGTTGGGAACCGGTTTGGAAACCGATTTATGCCAGTTAAGAATCGGCTTATGCCAGTTGGGAACAGGCTTATGCCAGTTGGAAACCGGTTTAAGCCAGTTGGAAACCGATTTATGCCAGTTAGGAACCGGCTTATGCCAGTTGGGAACCGGCTCATGCCAGTTGGAAACTGGTTTATGCCATTGAACAATTCTTTAAGCTATTTAACGTGCTATCTAGACAGAATCTGTATCTAGTTTGAAACAGTTTCAGTCAGGCATTATGAGGAAGACAATGAATGACATGTTTGACCATTTTAGAGACTGATAGATGGAAGGGACCCCAAAAAAATATTCATGTGTATTTTACCTCATTGATGTCAGCAAGATACTTGGCCAACTTTGGCTTTCCTATATTGAGAGCAATGAAAGATGTTTTCTTATATCTGTATAACAGACGAAGGTTGCTAGAACCTGTTTAGCGTTTGCTGTCTAAGAGTATAGAATGACAATTATAAAATCCATATAAAAATCCCCAACTTAAAGTATGGCTTTTAAAACAAAACCTGGAGAAAATACTTATTTAAACCAGAATTATTAATGCTTTATTCTAAAATGTGTTAAGTGCTGTAGGTTTGAGAAGTATTTTTTTTTTTTTCATTCATATATTTGTGCCATGTTAAGAATACTTATAACTTCTTGCCTAAAGTATAATTTGAGCCACTTTTGTTGTTTTTTTCGGCTGACTTTTCTATATGTTATATTTTTGTGAATAAACATAACCTAAAAATAAAGTGCTTTATTATAAATGAATAGTCTAAATTGAAATTGAACTGTATTGTAACGGCAACCAATTTTCAATTTTTTTCTGAATTTTTATGTAAATAATTCCTGGGCCCCTATCTGTTTCCAAGGTTTAGAGTAAAAAAAAAAATGCACTATTGATAAAATTTGCTGAATCTGTTTACACCTTTACCCCAAAAAAAAGGGAAACATGTTGTTATATTTTCAGTTTAGCTTGAAAAAAGAAAACAGTAAAATAAATAAAACTTTTTTTTAATATGTGTGTTTTCATAACGCCAGTAAAATTATTTTTATATAAATACAAAACTCACAATTCGGATTTTAAAAAGCAAGACTACTTTATTTGTTTAAATTAGGAGTGTAAAAAATTTACTTTTTATATATTTTTATCAATATATGCAAATTTATTTTCAGTAGACATTCAAGTAATTAGTAGTTATGAAAAGTCCACAAAAATAAAGAAATAGACAAATGTCTTACTTTGAAAAACATTAAAAAAATTAAAAAGACTGAAATATTGTCAGCCCTTAAAAAAAAGAACTATATCTGATGATTTAAATAAAGCACAGATCAAAAAGTAGAGATTACAGGGAAAGCAGAAGTAAGGTCGACAAAGTTCCAGGCAGAGATAAGGCTACAGTCTGAGTTTCTCAGACTGTAGCCTTATCTCTGCCTGACAGTGTATTTTTTCTCATGCTTCTTGCTGAAGCTATTTGAAGAAAAAGAGTTGAAATCTTTTGCAAAGGGCACCAGAATGTGGATGGAAGGAACACACTCTTAGTGCAGCTTGCTGTCAACAGAGCACAGTGCCGTCAGCTGAGATTTTATGTCTTGAAGGCTTTGGGCACGTGGGTAGTTTCACTTAACAACCACACATCCCTGTGGTTGGCACCGTGTTTTCACCACCATGGTATCTTTGCTTTATGATGTAGCTTCCTGAAAATGGAACCGCAATCCTTTTGAACATTGTAGATATGAAAATAAACATAAAGCCTTATTCTTTGCAGGTGAAAAGATGGCTGTGGGAAATATATAGACAGCCTTGTTCCTCTTTCTTCATCCACTGGGGGGCCTCAGAGGGCTGTTTTTACTGTTTAGCCAAAGCTTCTAAGGAATGATTGAGGGCAAAGGCAGTTCTAGATAGGGGCCAATGGGGACCAGTGCCCCTGTAGATCATGTCCTGGCTCCTGTTATGGAGCCAGGACATAATACTCTAAGTTATTCTAATGATGATATGTACTGGAACAGACATGGTTTCTGATAGGTCCTTTTTTTTTTTTTTTTACAAATTCTGTTTTACAAATTATTTAAAAACAATAAGGTGATAGCTTCAGTGGTATTGAGATAGAATCCCGTTTTTCATTTGCTAAATGTTTTTTCAAAACAAATAAAAAAAAAAATTTACAGCTGAATTTATCGTTTTTTTCTTGAGTTCTAAATCTGATTTTATAGAAAACTGTATTTTTTAACTTAAATTATGTCAAAAATATGTAAAATTCATAAATTATGAATAGATATTGACCTGATAAGATATACAATTTTAATTAAACCTAACTGAATAGAAATTTCACTTCATGGAGCTCTCTTAATATATTTGAATCCCTTGCCCTGTTTTTTTATTTCATACGTTTCTGTGCCCCCCATGAAAACACACTGGCCCCCTCCTGGCCCCCTGGTACATTTGGTCTAGAACCGCCACTGATTGAGGGTCACCTGAAACAGATGAGATTTTAAATCTAGTTATAATCAGCTATTTAAAAAGCACATAATACATTTTTTGTTTTTTTCTTTTTATGTTTGACTCTTCAAATGTGAGATGAATAACTCTTTCAAAGTTGACCTGCATACCTACTGATAAGTTTGGTGGAATACCTGTGATGCTAGGCTCCTCTAGGAATATATTACTTTTCCCGGATATCACTGCTGCACTTAATTGTTTTCCATATTCATAGAGGATGAACACAATCGATGATGTGTAGCCATAGCTCCTGCACAGTGTTATATAACATTTGTTTAAGTTCTAAGAAGTCTGAGGGAAGGTTGCGACTAAATTAAATGCAAGTCATACTGTGACAGGGGTATAAGATTAGTTTACCAAAGAGAGGATGTGATAAGCCTTGAGAGTATTGTCATTGTTGCATCCTTTTCTTTCCATGCATAACCTGTCTTACTGCATAATAATCCATGAGGTTGTGACATTGCCATGGAGCAGACTGCTATTGGGGTTTTATCCATGGTCAGACTTTAAGAACAATAAACCATTAAGGTTAAGTAACAATATACTAAGGTTATATTAAAGTTTAGCACTAGAAATTACCATATGTCAGTTTTAACTTTTTTAAGATTTTATGCATTAGAGTTAAACTATCCTGTCAACATTCAATAAGATATCCAGGTTGAAGTTTTTGAATCAATCCTGGCTAACAGATGTTTAATTTATAGATATTACAGCTTAAATTGAGTCAGTGATCATTTTGTGTTGTTGTTGCCTAAGAAAAAAACTTTCTGTATTTTTAGGATCTAGATCAGAGCTGATTAGGGGTCCCTGATGCAGAGGTTTTTGGGTCAGACTGCACCTCCCTGATGTCTACAGAGGAATGCAGATCAGCTGATCTCTTGTTTGGTCACACTCTCAATTATCACACGTGTCCCTTATTTTCCCAGGACAGGCCACTGTTAGTCCTAATAAAGATAAAAAATAAAAAATTACGATCAACTTTTCTTTGGATAAACTCACAAATTGTTGGCATAATGCATAACAAACATTTTCTCATCTCTTGATTGTTAACCCTAAAAAAAGAGAACTTGTCAGGGTTCTGTCCGCTGCTTGGGTTTATTTTTAGTTTCTTTGCGTTCTGTGTCTTTGTAGTTCTACCAGTGCTGAGTTGTTTAGTTCTTGTGTTACTCTCTGTTGCCCTCTTGTGTTTGTTTCCTTCTCCCTTGGTCCCTTCTTGTTAGCCCACTAACACCTTCTCCATATCTGCTGATTAGCTTGTCTTGGTTCAGTCTCCCATATATATACCTCACCTCTGCAGTCACTCATTGCTGGTTTGTTGTTTCCCGTGTCTCTGGCTCCTTACATGAGTTTTCCCTCATGTGTTTTTTGGGGTTCTTTGAATTTTTTGGATTTTTCCTCAGTATTTCCATTAAATCTGCAAAATTCACCTCTTTCTCTCTGTCTCTGCATTTGGGTCCTCAAAACCTCAACCCAACCGTGACAGAACTACTGTTACACAGAATAACCATACAAACTGCTGACAATGGAAAACAGACAATTAAAATAATTATTTGAAAGACAACAGGAGCCATAAACTACCCTGCAGACAATAGGAGGCTCACAACCCAAAGACCACAACTATAAACTTTATAACAGACCCAACAGAAGCCCCTGGTCCAACTATACCAAGTTCCATATGCATCAATTTCCTTACATTTTTTTTTTTTTTACATAATATTGCAGATTTTAACCAGTGACTGTGTCATGGGGTTTTTAACCGGATAATGTTCCCACCCTTTCTTTAACTGCTTAAGTAAAGCCATGCACCTTACAAACCTTTTTGGTTTTTTATGTCAGAAACAAAAACAATACGCAGGAATCCATCTCATGACATATGCCACCTGCTGAGGGTCACAAATCTGCACAGCTGTCTTTTGTGCCCTGCAATGCTAAACCTATTTCCCCTCAATGGGGCTCCAATTCTCTCCCTTTCATCCGCCTCGCTCTGGAAATGAGAGTGACGTTCCATTAGCGAGGGGAAAGAATCCCCCACCTTGGCAAGTGAGAGGTGCAATACTGAAAGCCAATTGACTAAATGAAATTCCAGTATGTGATGGGTGGGAGGAAGGAGATGGGGCCTTGTGCAACTGCAGCTTTCTTGTTTTTTTTGGGTTTTTTAAGACACAGTAAAGCATAATTTTCTGCTTTTTTCCTGTAGATGAAACAGTTTGATCGATAACTACTGGGGACAGACATTTTAGTCCGATTTGGCAATTTTATTGGTTTGTTTGGACTTTACTCACATAATCAGCTCTATTCCTCTCAGCTTTATCAAACACAGATGAAGTGGGAACAGCTTCAGCCTTGGGCTGAGTGGAAGAGAAAAAGTTTTTCTAATCGGCTTCAAACAAAGAGCGCATGTTCACGTTTAAAAGTGAACGTAGGTCTTATGTTGTAAGGCTATTAATGTATTTTTCTGCAACCTTAAAAAATGAAGCTTTTTATTG